TCCCTCCCCTTTGCGGACACTCGCCCACCTCCCCTTTTCTTTGTTGAACATTGTATAAACAGCCCTGTAACTTGCCAAAGGGGAGGACGGTGGGCTTTCGGACACGACTCTGCTGCCCTCCTTATTTGTTGACAAATAAAACCACTTTCCTTTTCCTCAAACTCTGTTTCCTTTTATTGGCTGAGGGAAACTGAGACCCGTGTTCGGTAACAGGACTGGTCACAAGCTAGCCTGCCCATTCTGTCCTGACTAGGGGACTTCCTGCACCGCATGTTCATCAGGAGACTGCCCCTCTGGACTCTGAGATAGAGAATACTAGTGCCTATGAATCCATAGTGGTGCTGGACGACGACATGGGGCCACACCTCTCTTTCCTGCTTCCTCCTGACCATGTCACTGCCCTGCTGGATGCTTTCAGACTAAAACAAGTAAGCTTCCCTGGGGGACATGGCCACCACCTTGCTCCCTAAAGTGTCAGGGGGCCAGACCCCAGTAAAAAGGGAATGACCCCAGACTTCGTATTGTTTGTGTCACCAGAGAGATGTCACTCCCCTTTGCTTAGTTAGCACCTTGTATTTCACCAGCCAGTTTCTATGCATTGGAAACGTCTCCTCCTAACCAACTAGCTCCTCTTCATTCATTCACCCCCACCACCCCATGTGGTTACTGAGTATCGCTGTGTGTGAGCATGTTCTGAGCACTGGGGTGATAGCAGTAGGCATGATAGACACAATTCTATGCGCTCATGAGGCTGACTTCTAGCTGGGAGGCAAAAATCAATCATAAACAGCAAACAAGAGAAGGAAATGCATAGAAAGTTCCTGCCTCAAGACCCTGTCTGAGTGCCAGGACACTCAGGTCAGCCACCCTGGCCACCCACCGACCGCAGGGGAGGAGCTTCGAGAGAGTCATAGCCATGAGTGGGGTGGACCTTCATTCTTCTGAAAGCATTGGGGAGACCTTGAGCACAGGACTGATAGCATCCAACTTGCATTTAAGTAGAGTGTAAGGAGCAAGGATCAAAGCGAGGAGACCAGTTCATGCATAGGACTAGTGATTAGAGCCCAGTGGTGAAGGCAGAGTTAGTGAGAGATCAGATTCAGGCTGTCCATGGGGTTCTGCTCCTCCCTCTGTTCATAGAGTGAATGGATTTGTTTACAATGCCCCCTTCTTCCTGGTAAAGAAGCATTTACTATTCCTTAAGTGGCTTCTGCTGAGGTGATTCGGAATTGTAACCTTAGTTGAGAGCTGACTGTACACTAAACGTTACTATAAAGAGTGTGTGTGTGTAGTCATAGTCTCACAATTGATTTATGAAACATATCACATTACTATTATCAGTTGTATAGATGAAATCTTTAAGGAACAGAAGCTAAATCATCAAGCCCATGGTTTCAAAGCAAATAAGCAGTAAAAGAAATCTTCAACCCAGGCAGTCTTACTTCAGAATTTCACTCACTTGGGATGTAGCTCTGCCTCTACCAAGAAGATAGATGGTCCTGGAGGATGCGAGATGCTAACAAAGGTGTTGTTGCTACAGCACAAGCTTCTTTAATTAGCAGATGAGGAAAATTAGAAATCAAAACAAAGTTAGCAGAAACTCAGTGAAAATATTGAACACCTTCCTATGTGAGTGCCATAAAAATGTATTATTTTTAATCACAGTTGTGTTACTAAATATTTAAGAGTCAATAAATGCACAAATCATTATAAAATCAAGGCTAATATCACTCAAAAGAGGTGTTATGTGAAAAATTTGAACTGCTATTGTTTAGTAGAATCTGTGAAGTTATAAAAAATCAACCACTGAGCCTTTCCATAGCCCTATCAAATTAGAGTCTCCTTGGGTGGGCTTTAGGCACTGGGAATCCATGATTCTATAATTTTGGTGTGGTCTTACAAAAGGAATCACTGTAAAGTATCCTATAAATAATGTTTTTTAAAAAAGATAATTAAAGAGCACCAAGTTCTAAAATATTCACTAATTGCATTAAAGCAAGTACAGTTTCACCTAATTAACCCCAAAGTCCCTTACCTAAAACTTCAACTATGTGCTTTTTATGCACCAGACTTTATTTTACATAAACCTAATTATTTAATTTTCAAAGTAAACCTATGAAATAGGTAATATTTTATCCTTATTTTGCAGATGGAGAATTTGGGCTATAACATAATTACATAGCTTTGCCACAAAGGTGGTCTCTCTCCACAGCTTTTGTTCTAGCCTTTGGGGAGTGACAGTAGCACCCCCAGACCAGCCTATCAGTGATGAGGGGGAAATCTTGTGGGAGAGATTAATGATGGAGTTCTTTCTCCAAAAACAGAGTTCTTGGGTGGTTGAGATGTGAAAAAAGAGAGTAATGTAACACAAACCCCTGACTAATTCCAGACTAACTTAAAAATTGTTCCTTTTTCATCCCAGGATTAGCAGGGTAGAGGAGTCAGCTCTGAGAGCTCTGTGGGAAAAGCTATTTGCTCATTCTTCCAATCTGCTCAGTGAATTTAAGAGGCTTGATGCACAGAAAACTGGTAAGAAAACTATTATATGAATAGTCAAGGGACCTATTCATAGAAGGAAGCTAGTCAAAAAAATCTTTGTCTCACAATTGTTATTGACTAAATATTTGCTGAATGAGCAAATGATCTTTGTTCATTAGACATTAGACAACCTCTTTGATGGCTCCCTGCATTTTATTCAACTTAATCCCAGCTATGTTTTATACAATTTAAAATTCCCAGAATATGAACTGGACAAAATATAGTTGGAGGTGGTGAGAAAAAAATGGAGTTAGGAGGAGGGTGACATGATCAGAACTAAGCAAAAAACAACAAATGGGGCAGTTTGTTAGTATGTATCCAAGATTAGCCAAAGTCCAAAAATTTGGCCTTATGTTGTTAGGTCTGTTATGCGTTTTACCCTCTATATTAGACATTTTTTCATTTTTTTCTCACCTCAATGAAATGTCTAATTCACCCTCATTAGATATTGCAGTATTGAAAATCACAGTAGTTGTTACAAAGTCAGGGCAATATCTTTCCATACACATACAACTAATACTCTGTAGGTCATGTTTTATGGTATGATTTACAGGAATGTGGCATGATTCCAATAGTTTGACCAGATTTAGCAAATACAAATAGGATGACTAATTAGACAGGCAACAAATGATTTTTTAATCTAAGCATTCAGTAAACATGCAGTAAGTAGTTGGGACATACTTATCCATTGGGGTCTATATGAAATTCCTATTTAACTGGGCATCCTGCATTTTTATGGCCACTCTGGTATCTAGCCAAGTCTTTTGTGACCACTAGAGAAGAATAGTTGTAACTGGGTGGTCCCTAGGAGAAGGGAAGTTCCAGGTTCCCTGCCCCACCCAGAAGGAGGGTGGAACTGAGCAGAGAAAGAAGAAGAGAGAAGAGAGGAGGAGGCCAGATGGAGAAAAAGACGGAGACCTGAGGAAGCCACATGGAGCAGCAAGCATGTGATGAAGAAACCG